GCGTGCCTGTAGTTCCAGCTACTTGGAAGGCTGAGGCGGAAGGATCGCTGGAGCCCAGCAGGTCGAGGCTGCAGTGGTTGGGAGTGGCTACTGCACTCCAGTCTGGGTGACAGAGTGAGACTCCAACTCAAAAAATAAAAATAAAAAATAAAAATTTAACACTTTCCTATAGATAAGTCCTTTCTATTTTTGTATACATTTGAAATATCTAAGAAAACATAAGTCTGAAAATGTTTTTCTTTCCCTCTCCTCACTCTTGGGATAGGTGATAGTTGAGGCAGTGGGAGAAAGAGCCAAAAGGCAAGCAAACTAGGAAGAGTTTTACAAACTGAATGTGAGCTCAGAGCAGGGAAGAGTTAATAACAGTTCACTAACAGGAATAACAGTAACAGTAATGGCGGCAGGTCAACACTCACAAAGCACTTGCTACAAGTCAGCTCTCCTAAGCACCTTGCACATACATTCTTAATTTCACCACGGCCACTGAAGTAGGTATCATTACTGTCTCCATTTTGCAAATAAGGAAACTGAGGCACACGGAGGTTAAGCAGCTTGCCCAAGAGGCTGGATTTCAAACTTGGGCTTACTCACTATGCTGCCCCGTCTATGAATAAAACAAACAGGTCTCAACTCTCACGATGGCACCAGCTGTGTTTCTGCATCAATATCACCACCAGCCAAAGTCATCCTCAGAGATGAGCATCCCCTCCCCAGCATTTCCCTAGCTCCCAAGCAGAGACTGCAGGTGCTTCTGAGGCTATTTCACAGAGGCAGTGCTGCCCCCAGCACGGTGAGCTGGGTGACTCCTGCCACACTGTTGTCACAGGCGCCACTCACAGGGATGGCTCCTGAATGCAGTGCCACAGGCAGCAGCAAACACCTTCAGCAACACACACAAGGCATCCTCACGCCTAGGAGTGCTTCTGGGCTAGAGAGAAACACTGCAGACAATATTCCGCATCGAGGACCCTCGTATCTCCCGGGAAGAGATCCCCTCTCTTTCCCACT